TCAACTATGTAATTCAAGTTTTTTATGATTTGTTGTAGATCTAACCCATATCGTCTTCCTCCGGTAAGCTTCAAGATCTGACCCGAAATCTTTCTCATATATGTCTTCACACGTCCAGCAACAGTTTATTCACATTTGCTTCTCTCTTGTTGTTGCAGATTTGCTTCTCTCTTATTGTTTCATATCTGACCCAACGTCGTCCTCATCCTTACTCTTTACGAACATGTAAGATTTTAGATCTGTCCGCCATCTTCCTTATCTCCATCTTCACACATGTCCTAGTTTACTCACATATTTTTCATTCTAATTGCTACAGATCTGAGTCCCACTACCGTCACAAGTAAGTTTGTGCTATATCTCTTGATCCAGATCTTCTCGAAATATATTTTATTAAATTTTAATTGTTTGGTCTCCGACAGAGAAGTCTACTAGTAGACTGACTGAGAAGTCTACCTGTTCTGGATATATAACATGAGTTATTGTTATATGGTGATCAGGGATGGTGCAGTACAGCTACACCCAACCGTCGAGTAGTTCCCACAGGAGTGTGAGTTCAACTGCTCGGCGTCGAGCAGTTAGAAGTAAAGGATTTCCCGACCTTTGTTACTGCGGTTTGGTCGGTTTTGAAAACATCCACTACACCCGATAATCCGGGTCGAAGATTCTATGGTTGTCATAACCATGCGGTAATGATTTTTGTGGTGGTGATTTTTGTGGTGTGGATATAATTTGATGTTGGCAAATTTGTTTGTGTATAGGATGGTTTGTGCCATATATTCAGGTGGTGGGATGAAGCTTTAATGGACGAGTTTGAAGATACAAGGGTCGTGGTGGAACAACATGCTGGTTTTATTCGGTACTTCCACAGTAATGAGAGTCGGGCCTTTCTTGATGCTATTGATAAACCACCACATATGGAAACAGTTCGGCATTACATGGAAAAAACAGACAGAGAGTTAGCTCACCTAAAGAAGATGATTATTGAGAAGCGTTATGGTAGCGTGGAGGTGAAGAATGTGATGGTAGTGTGTCTAATC